AGTCGAGACTTATGATTACATGCAAAGAAAATGTTCACCTATGTTATTCAATTAGCAACCAGGGGCTCAAGATTGAATAAATAAGCACAATCAGTGACCTAGTGAAAGTTATCATACACAAGAGAAAAGAATCATTAAAAAAAGATTTGTCGTATGGGACCCACATAAATATAACTTTCAAATAAGCACAAAATAAAAGCTCAGCTTTTCATTATAACTAGTATTTCAAATTGAAAAAATGTGGTGGGATAATATTAGCTTAATAACGGGCCTTAAAATGCGCGTTTCGGTAACCTTAGATAAAGTCATATTTATCCCCAACTTTTTTCCCGTGATATGAAAGTCTTGTATGGATTCACACGGCTTCCAAACATAAAAATGTTTTATAATTAAATAACACTATCACTTAATACTCAGATTTAATATTCGTTAAGGCAATACATACAAACTAGGTTTAAGCAGATATCAAGCGAGATCACAAATGAATTATAAAAAATCAATCCTTAGGAACGAGAACTTTCAAAAGGTTGAAGTAAAGCATAAATTGTACACTTACTGCACTTATAAGGGACTGGGCATTTGGAGAAATGACCCTGGGAAAACTATATTTAACAGCACATATCCGTGAGTGAGTCTCTTGATGTTGTTCGTGTTCAAAAGGAGGACTACCACAGAGCATTTCGTAACAAAGTACACCCACCGCCCAAATGTCAACCCGTTCGTCATGTGTGTTTCCAGACAGCATTTCTGGGGGTAAATAATCCAAAGTTCCACATATTGTTCTTCGTCTGGAGATATTAAAAAAAAGCGAATAATTCATACCTTAGTGATGGGGCATGTACTGACCACCCAAAATCAGCAAGTTTCAGTTCCTTATTAATCCCCAGAAGAAGATTTTCTGGTTTAATATCGCGATGTAGTACTCGTTTTGAATGACAATAAATAAGGGCATCGCATAATTGATAAACATACTGAAAAATATTTTCAAATACAACTTACGGTGGCTGAGCGAACCTCACTAAATCTACCACTTCTAGTAAGGTCACTGTACATCTGGCCGTGATAAGCGAATTCGAGGACCAAATAAATGCGTTCGCTGTCTGAGAAGAAGCTATACATTTGCAGTATGTGGGGGTGTCTGAGATGGCACATAATTTCAAGCTCTCTTCGGATCTGATGCTCTACACGACAACGAACAACTTCCTTCTTGGACACGACCTAAGTGTAAATAAGGCAGAGATACCTTAAGGGCACATGGAACCTTATTACATTTGGTCCTGGCAAAATAAACAAAACCAAATTTTCCTTCGCCTAATTTCCTGGCAACTTCAAAATCCTCAAGTTTTGGGGGATTTGGAGGGCTATACGAAAATATAAAATTAAGAATAATTACGTATTGTCCCAAGCACTCATCAGTTTGGTTAACGAAATTCAAAACGCGCAATCCAGCAAACTCTGTGGCGTTTACAATCGTTTAATAATAATTAATACCAAATTTT